GGGGGGGTGTTTAACTCCCCCTACCCCCGTCCTTCTGATGCCCAGAGGGGCAGAGATGAGACTGTCCCCAAAGCTCCCTTCTTATGTCCCCCTCTGTGGGAGGGTGCATGGGGCAGGCCAGGGGCAGGAGCTGCTTGGAACATCCTGGACAACCTGAGCAGGGAGCAGCAGTGCTCACTCAGAGGGCACAGGGCTCCCTGGCATCGAGATGCCCAGGGACAGCTCTGGGGGATGGACACTGTGCACGGTGATGCCGAGGGAGGCTGGGGCACCACAAGCACCGTGGCTGCTCAGAGGGGGCTCACACTGAACTGGTCTCATGGCAGAGCCCTGGCACCCACGGCTTGGCTGGGGGGGTCCCACCAGCCCTCCAGCATCCGGGGAACCATCGCTGGGCCACAGGTGCCTGGGAGATGCAGAGGGGAGGCAGGAAGGTGAGGAGGGAGCAGGAGCAGGAGGTTTCACACGGGCTGTGCTGAGCCCCACCCGCAGCAGGTCAGGGCCGGGGGCTCGGCGTCACCACAGGAGCAGGCGTGTGCTCCGGTCACCCATCAGGAGCCTTTGGGGGACAAAAGAGAGAGGAATCCAAGGTCAGCCTTTCTGCCATGGCAAGGGAGCAACAGGGACACAGCGATGGCAGCAGCCCAGCACCAGTCAGAGCTGGATTCGCCATGCAAGACATGGATGGAGCAAACACAGGGATTTGGACACAGGTTGGAACTCTGCTGTCATCCTGTCCTCATGAGAAGGAAAAGGGAAAGGACTTTCCAGCCCTTGGACATCTTTCTGGAAAAGTGTCTGCTTGCAGTGCGGGTGCAGGGAGCAGAGCAGCAGCACAGGGGGTACAGCGGGTCAGTCTGCATGGCCCCACTCCCCATCCTGCCACAGGCACCACGTACCTCACCAGCACAGCGACCAGGAGGGCAGCGACCATGGGCCCTACCCAGTAAACCCAGTGGTAGTCCCAGTAGTTTGCCACCAGAGCTGGTCCGAAGGCTCGGGCAGGGTTCATGCAGGCTCCGGACACGCCGCCCCTGGAATGCAAACAGAGTGGCTGCATCATTGTGGAGGGACACGGGACCAGCACCATCCCCTGGCTCAGACCACCCTGGTCCCATCCCAGCACGGCTGCTTGGTCACAGGGATGGTTTTCCTTGGCAGCCCAGAGTCGTGTGGCTGCTCAGCTGCCACACAGGGACCAGCCCAGCCCTGGGAGCGGCCGCTCACCAGCACCTGCCTTCACTCATGGCACTGGCAAGTTCCTGGGGAAAACCCAGTGTGAGGTAGAAGCACCAGTGCCAAGTTTATTTTGGGGCATCCCAGGAGCCAGGCTGTCAAACAGGGAAGGCTCCATGCCATGCACAGGTTGTGGAGCAGGGGATGGGGATGGAAGTGATTACAGGTTAAAGAAAACTGCAAGGGATAAATATTTGCCAAGAGGTTTGTGCTGTGTGTAAACAGGGGCTCGAGGTCCCACTAGAGCAGGTGGGCACTGCCTTAGCCCAACACTCCCTTAACATTCCTAATTGCATGTGCTCATTATCCCATCACAGAGGCACTGGAGCTGGGCTGCTCTCCCGACACATGGAGAAAGCTGCAAGCTTGGCAGCACTTCCAGCAGCCATGGGGACATGAAGGACATAAACCCTCTCCTGTTTGCTCAGAGCTTCCTACAGCAAACATGGCCCAGGGGGGCCTGGGGTTTATCACCCACCACTGGTGCCTGTGATAGCTGCATCAGCTCTGGTGCCACGCGCCAGGATGAGCTGACAGACACGCCTGTGCCTGGCCAGACTGCACACCATGGCTCTCCCAAAACTACCAGGGCACCCAATGGGCTCATTTGACTCCTTCCTGGTGTGCCCAGCTTGTCTCAGTTTCCCTGGACAGCAGGGCCTGTGTTGTGCTGCATGAGGGCATGTCCCATCCCAGCCCACCCCGTCCCACCCCAGGCACGGGCACTCTCCTCCCTGGGGCACAGTTCAGCTGGCTGAGCAGGGCAGCCCTGACTGTGGGTGTTCAGAGCTGCCCCTGGGGCTCCAAGCACCAGCTCCATCCCCACAGCCAGCGGTCCCCCCCCGACCCCCTGCCTGGTGACATCAGCTGCTGGAGCGGTGGCACTGGATGGCACCGTCTGCCGGCAGGAACGGGCACAGGGCTCAGGAGCTCACCCTGCCAGGATGTCGACCGTGAC